CACTTCTGGTTTCTGTTTGTGAGATAGGATTTGAGCAAAGTTAGAGCTTGTCCTTTTATTCCATAGAGCTCTAATTTGTTCAGCAGAATTTGATGATCAACAGTATCAAAGGCTTTCTTCAAATCAATTAGTATATCAATTACTATAGTTAATTGTAGGCTAGTTAAAGAAGAGAAATAGAACGAATATTATATAACACCTCATTAATTTCTGGTCTTTAATTGGATGATTATGATCACATGATATGGAATAAAACTTAATCGTATCTTGATCGTACCTCATGCAACCTAAGTCTTCATAATTACAGTATAATGACGCCGATGGAATTAAATTCAAATGCATAATTTCTGCGAAAGCAAAATGGCTGGTGAAAAAATCACTAAAAATAATATTTTACAACAATGCTCAGTTAAATGAATGCCATTTGCAGAATTTCTATTAATTTTAAACATTGTGCATGCAACTTAGGTATGTATTCATGTTTTGTATTTAATCCAATAAAAATCGATAACATTGATTTATTTTCGTGTTATATGAAAAAATCAGGAATGTTTTCATTCGTGCAGTGGTAAAAAATTTCCGGGTGAAAGATATGGAATTTAACATTCCACTCGCCTGTTGCCTCATGAAATGGAAATTCCATATGGACTGAAGATTGAAACAGAACCTGCGTTCTCAATTTCTACCTAAACCTTTACATAAAATGTCATAAAAATTAATAAAACAATTAATTTAAACTATAGATATAAATATAATTATATACTTAGGGTCTGTGGTGGGTGAAGTACATATACAAAACCATGAATAAACCCAATTTAGGTATAGATTTAATTGTTCTGTTTTCTATAGGCGCATGTTAATATGAAGTGTCCCATGCAGTTGCCATATTGCAGTTCAATATTATAACCAAAACTGATTTATTTTCAATTCCAGTTCTGTGCAGGATCAGGCAATCCTGTACGGAAAATTTAAATGCCTTCGCACCCGCCGTTTTAAAATGTTGTACAATGAAAACATTTTAACGTGTGTAGTTAACAGTATATTAAACGAGAAGCACGTTAACAAAAATATTAAAGTTATAATGCAGTTGATAAAGTTAACCGTTCAAATAAGGTATAAATATAAAGTTAATGTTTTAATTACCAAATGGTTTTCCGTGCAGGATATATATATAGAGCGTAATCCTTGCACTTTGGATGTTGCTCGACTTTCGGAAGGCGTGAAAAAGCACTCGCCTGCGACTTGTAATTTTACGCTGTCGGAAAATCTCGCAACATCCCACGTTCATGGACGACGCTACCCTGCACACGGAAAATCATTTGGTACTCCTCAATATTTCGTTATACTTTCCTTCATTTAGTTATAATTATTTTATTATACCATATTTTGACTATAAACGTAAGCGAAAAAATAAAAAAGATCTTTTCATCTATGTTCTGTTTAATAGTAAAAATTTCAACTGCATTAGAAACAGCACACTCAACATTTTACGCTTGCCTGAGTCTCGCAACAACCCAGGTGCACGGACGACGCTATCATACACCCTATATACCATATTTAGAATGTAGGTGAAACAGTATAAGTAAATAAATAAAAGAGAAAACTTACTGATAGGCACCACCTACACTGGTACATACCGTTCAAAAACAAATATTAAAAGATCTTTTCATGTATGTTCTGTTTTTTAATACAAAAGGCAACTGCATTAGAAACAGTACACTCAACATTTTTCGTTCATTGGTTATGAAGGTAATCATTCGTGCATGCATATAGACGACGCATGCAGATCATTATGGACTTATATCTGACATCCTTATACATGTGATAAGAATTGAAGTCTAGTACCAATAGCCAAAATTACTGCAGCAGAATGTAGATCATAGAAAAAAGGACGTTTCAGAAATTGGGTATTTGTTTGAGCTTGCATCCATGACCCCTCGCCCCCCGTACGCGCGACAAGTGCGCTCATGTGCGGCGGGCTTTACGTTAATTGGAACATAGGTTGCATTTGAATAAGGAATTATTAATGCACAAAATAGCAAATAATGATGCACCTATGTATCTAACATCACAATTTTCCAGAAGGAATCTAATGCATGACTACAATGTAGGGGTAGTGAATTTTTCCCTTCCAAAACCTAACAAAAACTTTATGAAAAATAGTCTAGCATACAGTGGAACGGTCACTTGGAATTCTCTAAGTGATGACATCAAATCAACCGAGGATGTCATTGCCTTCAAAATGAAGGTCTTAAATGACATACGAGATTCTCTTAGTCTCTAATGCTTTTATTGTATATATGTAATATAGTTAATCATTCAAGTCATTGTAAAATCTAGTTTCCTATTTGTTTTCCTTTTCTCTCTTTTCTTGCTATATTTACATATATTTATATAATTGTATATATGCACGGCTCTCAGGAAGAGCATTATTTAAGTAATGATGAGATTTCCGTGTTGAAATAAAATTTATACATACATACATACATACATACATTCGTGAGATTATTTAACAATTATTGAATTCGGTTGTCGCATGATGTGAAGCTAATATTATTAATATTAGCTATAATATTAATAATATTATTAATATTATTACATTTATTTATTTATTTATTTATTTTAAAATTATTTTCAATAATTAAAAAAGCATTTCCCGCACGTCCGCGTCCGCCAGTCCGCGCCCGCCAGTCCGCGGCCGCCAGTCCGCGGCCGCCAGTCCGCGCCCGTCTTTTATTTACACCCCTCGTAACTCTGCCGAAAAAAGCTTTACAGTGTTATTTATACGTGTTGATTGATTGATTCATCGTGCTGCAAACGGCAATTACCATGCATACAACTTCGTTCAAGTGTTCGACATATGTTATTATAGGTGCAATTTCCTAATATGGTTAAATCGGCAGTAATTAAAATTGATTTAGCACATAAAAATATTCAGTTAATTTGCAAATATTAGCCCTCTGTATATTGCTAGCCAGAACCTTCATAAATGAGAATTGTGTCAATTGTCTACTTACTGAAGACAGTTTCTTCAAATGCTCCTATTGCCTACTTCGGTTCCCACTCAATCCACTCCCATGTGGACTTGGTTATAGACTTGCTACAAGTCGACTCGTATCATTTGTGGACTCCATTTGGCTCTGAGTTTGAGCTCAAATTTCTTAAAGTGCGGATAAGATTCTAGCGATGCATGGGGGTTTTGTCCATTCGTTTTATTCGATCACGCGTTCTCACTCGTTTTACTCATGACAAGTTACAATGCGTTACGGTGCGAGTCGACTTGTAGAAAGTCTAAAACTTGGCTACCTCGGTTTATGGCAGTATAGAGCGGTGTATATAGGCATTTGTTGTGGGTAACTTCCGCAATGCATGGTTTGCTGATTGCGCCGATCTCGCCAAGTCTAAAACGGCAATCCGCATAACGACAATTTCAAATATATCTCTTAGCGTATTATGAACTATCATTATTTTTATAGATAAAACGTTCAGAATTGGTTCCAAAATATTTTTGTCCTCATCGATCAGGTCATTGTCATCGAGAGGTGAGAACATACAATCTAAGATTACTGCAAGGACATTTTTAATTTAGCTGTCTGGCAGTGTCTGTATAACCACTATAACGTAGTAAACGTACATCGCATAAAGAGTCATGCACTTCCATAACTACTTCCGGCTTTGTTTCAAAATATATAACTTTATTAATACAACTGCTGCATGTATATATCGAGGTATATATATATACACATACAGATATATAACTAAAGCCGAATTGAATGCGTTATGTAAAGATATCACGAACAAGAGTCGAGATATCAACGAACGTTTATATTTGTCGAATATCAGAATCTTTAACATATCGTAGTTGCGTGTGTAATGTTGTGCAACAAGACAAATTCATACAATAAATTGTTATCTAAGTTCGAATTCCTGAAAGGCATTTTCTACTCACGTCAACTCTGTGTCGTAACCGAGCTTATCAACAAGCGAACCTACCAACATGGTCGACCAATGTCGTATTATATCGGGAATGTATAAAAACATCGATAATAATCCGACATAGGCATAAAGACAATATATACAATCATTTCATTTTAGATAATATTTAAATTAACATTGTAGCCTATTAAAACAAATCTTTAAATGAAGTGTACTTACTGAATTCAACACAAAATCCCCGACCTCCAATCGGAAGCGAAAGAGAAGAAAAACTTAGTAATATGAAACGTGCTTCGACGAACTGAGAGAAACGATGCTTTGATGTAAATATGCCAAGTTGTTATGTATGGAAAGTAAAATAAACATTCAACCCTTTTCCGGTTATTTTGGCGCCGGATATAAAGAAAATCTTTATGAACTTTCAACCTCCGCGCTCCCACGCATTCTTGCGGCTAAACAAAGTCGAAGACGAAAGTAAGTAGACCATAGTATTTGCTCTGGTAAGTCTGGTTTACTTCATATTCAGTTCCTTATCATGGTTATAGTTAATAAAATTTTCCTCGTTCCCATGAGATTACCAGTCTTCGGACTGCCAGAACCCCCTTTTCGGCTTGTGGAAAATGTAGTGACAGTAATTAGATATATTGTTTCATTGCAGCTATATTTGGGTCATTTTATCTGCAAGTACTGGTTCAACTCGCCGCTTAAATATGAAATTTCGTGCTCAATTAAAACCTAATTATATGAAACTGGAGTTCGAGAGTTCGTCCTCCATTTGGGGAAATATTCGAAAATTCGAAGAATATTGGCAGAGCCAAATGTGCAAGCGACAATTTTGCCGACGTTCGTTATCCTCGGGATCTCATTTGAAATTTTAAATCCTTTGATTGCCGGTATTAGTTCACTTGCATCGTGACAAAATTATTTTTAAGCAGAGCATTGTAGCAATGGACGTCTGATGGCTTGGCCGCTAGACGTTCACAGACATGTCGTTTCGCACACTCGCACAGTTAATTATTTTGAGGAATTTCCGCATTCCCTTCACCAGAATTAATGAGAAGCGAGAACGATAATCATCCGCATCAAACTGCATGGCCAAAGTGTGTAGAATCGAAACTGGTTGTCTGTTTCGACACTCAGACGTAATGGGTAAATGGGACTAAAGGGCATGTTACCTTCCTTTACTTGTCTTTATAGCGAAAAAAGTTGGTGAATTTTCAGGCAAATCCGATTTCCGGGTGGGCGATTGCCCACCAAGTTATATAGTTAAAAAATGCACTGCTACATGTAGCTCATAACCACGCCAAGCGACGGTTAAAACGTTTGTGCTGGCTGTTGGCTGTTCGCTGGTCACTGATGACTATTGTTACTTAAGGGCAAATAAAGTTCAGTAAACTATACTTTGTGTTGAATACAAACATGTAGTAATTTTGTTTTCTGGCGTTGACAGTTATCAAACTTTTGAAGCTTGAAGTCATGTAACATGCATTTAGAGGTGCATTTCAAGTGTTGTTGATAAAGCAAAAGCATATATGATAAAGCCAAAGCATATATATGCAAAAGATGAGCTAAAATCTTTTGATTTTATCCCGATTGCATGAAATATGTTTCATAAGGACACACCCTGCATCATTTTAATACCAACAAGCGAATTCTGCTAAAAATAGCAGTAACTTTCCAATTATTAGTGTAAGTATGTTGATCTGTCGTCACCAAAGAAGTAATCAGTAATTGATAAAACTAGAATAGTGAAGCACAGAGAATAGTGCGAATAGTTCGCATAGTACGAATCGTCCGCGAATAGTCGACGATTATAGTCGACGGATAGTGCGAATAGTCGGCGAATAAAAATCTGCGAAAAAACCCGACGCAAACTCAAACTTCAGAAGAAAGCTTCCCAACAAAGGTTTGTGAGGTATTTTACATTTCCTCTTGATTACACTTCAATTTTTAAGATGTGCAAAGTAGAGGGGGCGTTGGGGCGGAGTCCACCTTCTTCAAGCTATGGGGGGGGGGGCTGAGCACCCTTCTACTTTCAAAACTCAATATTACTAAGGAAACTATTAAAGAAATATTTAACAGGAAGTAGAATGACAATCACTAGGATGACGTTCCCTTTCAATTAAGCCCGTTTTCCACTAGGCGAATTTGTTCGCGCGAAGCGACAAGTAAAAGAGCCGGAACTGATTCAACATTTTCGCGGCGAATTTTTTCGCGAACATATTCGGATAGTGGAAAACGGACTTAATAATAAATCGATACCTTTTCTTGTTTCGTGATGTAAATCACGTTCACCAAGCACACGAAATCACTTGAGCTCTTAAATCTTAATTACAACGTTACAACTTACAAATAACATTCCTACTAGAAAATACATGCATGCAGAAACCCTCGCCTTGTTGACAAAACCATTGTATTTTCCGAACATGAAGTATCTAAAGCAGTTGTCATGGTAACACGATAAATTTTTAAGAATTTCTCACAAACGAAAAATCGCCTAAAAATATCACGTTTAATTACAAAATTATTAATTTCCCAACATATATATGTTAGGTATGTTATTATACGTAATATAAGCCTCAATTTAAGGTAAAATTCAACCACAAACGCTTCGCAAAACGTTTTAAAGTCACTAGTGAGTAGTGTTCTTTATAAAACTAAACGGCCTTTTAAAATGGCTTTATCGATAAACTTTGAGTTTGCAATAAAATGATTTCAAATTCTCGCTTGCAAATAACTTTGCTTTCTTTTTTATTTAAAAAATTCAATATCATAAAAAAGGGAATCAATATTAAAGATACACTGAGTATATGCTGTTTTGTTTTAATACTTGTTTCATATACGCAAAGGCGGTCGGGTTTTAAAGCCATTATAAAATCAATATTTAAAACAAAGGCTTACCTTCGTTAACGTCGGCTCCCTTTTTTTAGCCGATTCTTTCACAGTTTCTTTCTGAGAGAGCTTTTGAAATTTACAACTGAAATCTTGCAAAAATGCGAGCAAAAATGAAATATATTTGCAGGAAATTTATCAATCATCAAATCAAGAAATGTTTGCTATTTCGCTGTCGTCATCATGCAGTCGTTATAATGCAAACTTTAAATTGGACCAATCAGTGTCCGCTATTCATGACAGTCCGCCATATTTTTGAGATCACCCACCCCAACATCGTTGGTCACCCACGCCCGCGATAATTGATGAACTTTAGACTTCGCTAATGCTTTCGTTTCCCCGGTTGTAAATAGCCGGGGGGAATTAGTACCCTCGCACGGCGCTTTGCGCCGTCGGCTCGGGGATAAAATTCTATCAGTGAAATTCATGACTCATATAGCTTGTCGGTTACGTCTCTGGGTTACGTATGACGTCATCGTCGACTATTCGCGGATTATTCGCGGACTATTAATTTGTACTATTCGTCGATTATTCGCACTATTCGCTTTTCTAGTTTTATCAATTACCAGAAGTTTGATAAATTTACGAAAATTACTGAAAAATTTAAGAAATTACGGTACATTAATGCGAAAAAATGAAAAATTGATATGTCGGAAAAAATTTTTCCATTGTATTAGTATTTGTTTCTAAATTTTCCGATTGCCTTGTCTTAGCATGCACTATTAAGGCCCATTTACACGGTACGATTAGTTGTATACGATTCTTAGTCTGGTGTATGTGATCGAATAAACACGCGTACAAACGTCACATTTCAATTTTCGCCATTAGCAAATGAGCAATGACGTGGCATTAGCACAGCCTAGACCTAGGCCTTCTAGTTCTAGTCTTATTTATATGTTTTTAATATTTAGCGCTTTTTCACAGGAAAAGACTGGGACTAGGTGATTTGGGGGCGGGGCGGAGGAAGCAAGGCTTGTGTCCTTCCTCCGCCCCGCCCCCAAATCACCTAGTCCCAGTCTTTTCATGTGAAAAGCGCTGAATATCAAAAAAATATAAATAAAAATAGAAGGCCTAGGTCTAGGCTGGCATTAGCACTCGTTTTCATTCGTCAGAATGACAATCGTATACAACTAATCGTATCGTGTAAATGGGTCTTTTTAAACTCCTCTGCAAAGTGCTTGTGATAATTCAATGATTTTCGGAAGGCAAAGGCTTACGGCTGGATTCGTTTGATCGGGCCGGGGAATGATAGCCCACGCCCGGATGTTATAAAATATCTGCAACTGATTAGTAATTAATTATCTGTTATAAGTATCCACAGCGGTCGCCGGCTGAACAATTTGAGATCAGTGACCTTGATTTAGTCGCGAGAGCCGGGGAAGAATTACGTAGGTGGGTGAATAGGGGTATACAAATCCGCCGATCCGCCCAAATTTGAAGCAAAATCCGCCGATCCGACAATGGTCTTGTCTAAATTTGGATCCCGGCTAAAAGCTCTGCTATGAAGTCACAATCCAGGATCCGAACTAAATTGGAAGCAAAATCCGCAATATGAATCAAAATATTAGATAAATCCGCAATCCGCTGTATTAATAAGATCCGCAAATCCGTGTAAAATATTCGCAGGCCAGATCCAAAATCCGGCTAACAATTTTTTCGCCGGAATCTGACGATCCGAAAACCTATTCACCCCAACCCAACCCCCACCCATTCACCCCCCACCTACCCCCATTACGTA